GTCTGCCTTCGGCTCGGGTCATGATCCCAGGGTCCTGGGATCGAGCCCCGCATCAGGCTCCCTGCTCAGTGGGGAGTCTGCTTCCCCCTCTCCCTCTGCCTGCCTCTCTGCCTGCTTGTGCACGCTCGCTCTCTCTCTCAAATATGTAAGTAAAATCTTTATAAAAAAATAAATAAAAGTCTACTTACTTGTTGAAACTGGATTTGTTCTTGCAGAATCTCCAACATTCTGGGATTATATCTTCAGGCTATCATTTTAAACGTGGTCTTCTATGAACCCCTCTCACCCTCACCCCATACAGCCTTTACCTTCTTCCTGTGAACTGGTATTAAGTCTCGAGGTCTGCCTAGATTCCTCTCTGTTTTTTTGGTAAGAACGCCTCCCAGGTGGCACCCCCACTTCCTCCTGCACCTCACAGAGGCATGCAGCAGGGGCCCCACTGTGTACAGCAAGGTGCACCGGGGCTCAGGAGCAATCACCCTGACCCATGTATTATAAAGCCCCACCAGCTTTCCTACCCAATGGTTTTAGTGGTTGTGAGTGACTGTGACCCAGATCCATTATTCATTGGGAAAATGTTAACTTTCTAACTCCTTCTGCATTAGCTGTCATCCTTCTACAAAGAAAAATGCTCCTTCATATGGCTACCCTGAAATAGAGTTGATGCACGAAAGGTGTGCATTCTTTGGATTCTTTTATTTATCAATTTTCAGAATAATGAGTTGGCAGCCTACCTATATCCAGAGGTGACTGTGAGCTTTTCTTTTTTTTTTTTTTTTAAGATTTTATTTATCTATTTGACAGAGAGAGAGAGCGAGAGCAGGAACACAAGCAGGGGGAGTGGGAGAGGGAGAAGCAAGCCTCCCGCCGAGCAAGGAGCCTGATGTGGGGCTTGATCCCAGGACCCTGAGATCATGACCTGAGCCGAAGGCAGACGCTTAATGACTGAGCCACCCAGGCGCCCCTACTGTGAGCTTTTCAATATTGTTATGATTGCAAAGATCTTTGCATATTTGATATATATTTTAATCCACTGTGGTCATTCCTTTGTGCGGCTGAAGTGGCCTCATCCTTGGCCTATGGGAGCCCCTCAAGTTGGCTTCTGCACCATTCTCATGTGACCCCGCTGGTCTCTGAGCCTCCACACTTTCAGACACAAGGTGTCTCGACTCATCATGTGCTCTTCCCACCCCAGAACCTCTCCAAGGAGCCCAGTTCCCTTTAGTGGAAAGTGCTGTTTAGAACCCACTGTCCAAGCACGAGGGGTATGAACTGCTATGGGGTTGCCACACAAATATCTTTACGCTGTCAACTTTATTTAAAAGTGTAAAAACTAAGTTTACGGCAACATCTACCTTTAATATAAACATAAATGTCACTAAATACAAATAAGGAAATAATCCTACCCAATATGGATATAATATTCAAGATTTTAGGAAAAAAAATAAACATACCTGTTATAATACATGTGCTTCAGAAAATTTTTACTTAAAAATTCCTTGTAAAAGTCAGCCATTTCTTCTGCATCTAATGTTGCTTTTTGACCTGAAAATTAATTTCAATTTAAACATTAAGACTTGGGGGGCGCCTGGGTGGCTCAGTTGTTAAGCGTCTGCCTTCGGCTCAGGTCATGATCCCAGGGTGCTGGGATCGAGCCCCACATTGGGCTCCCTGCTCTTCGGGAAGCCTGCTTCTCCCTCTCCCACTCCCCCTGCTTGTGTTCCCTCTCTCGCTGCGTCTCTCTCTGTCAAATAAATAAAATCTTTAAAATAAACAAACAAACAAACAAACATTAAGACTTGGGGCACCTGGGTGGCTCAGTCAGTTAAGCGACTGCCTTCGGCTTAGGTCATGATCCTGGGGTCCTGGGATTGAGCCCCACATCGGGCTCCCTACTCAGCAGGGAGCCTGCTTCTTCCTCTCCCTCTGCCTGCCTGATCCCCCTGCTTATGCTCTCTGTCAAATGAATAAATAAAATCTTCAAAAAAATAAAAATAAACATTAAGACTTAACAGGGAGGAACCCACACACGACTACTGATCTAATAGAGGTCAGCAAGATGCAGGATACAAGATCAAAATACATACATCAACTGTGTTTTTCTAAACACCAACAATAAACAATCCAAAAAAATGAAATTAAGAAAACAATTCCAGGGGTGCCTGGCTGGCTCAGTCAGTGAAGCATGCAACTCTTGATCTGGGGGTCGTAAGTTTGAGCCTTACGTTGGGCATTAAGTTTACTTAATTAAAAAAATATATATATATAAAGAAGAAAGAAAACAATTTCATTCACAATAGCATCAAAAATAATAAAGGACCTAGGAATAAATTTGAGAGGAAGTGTAAGACTTACACACTGAAAACTATAAAACACAGCTAAAAGAAATGAAAGAAGACATGAATAAATGGAAAGACATCCCATGTTCATGGTTTTAAAGACTTCATACTGCTGAGATGGCAACACACCCCAAATTGACACATAGGTTCAATACAATCCCTCTCAAAATCCCAGCTGGCCTTTGGCAGAAATTGACAACCAGATCCTAAAATTCATGTAAAAATGCAAGGAAACCCAGCAGCCAAAACAATCTTGAAAAAGAAGAACAAAATTGGAGGACTCACCTTTTTCAACTTCAAAACTTACTGCAAAGCTACAGTAATTAAGATGGTGTGGTACTCACACAAGGACAGGCCTCAGAGTCCAGAAATAACCGCAAACATTTACGAGCAAGTGATTTTCAGTGAAAGTAACAAAACAATTCAGTGGGGGGTGGGAGGGTGGGAGACAGCCTCTTGAGCAAGCGGTGCTAGAACACTAGAAAGTCACGTGCAAAAATATAAAGTTGAATCCCTACCTCACACCATATACAAACACAACCTCAAAATGGGTCAAAAACCTAAAGGTGAGAGCTAAAACTAAAAAACTCTTAGAAGAAAACAGGGACAAATCTTCACCTCCTTGAATTAGTCAGTGCATTTTAGGTATGACACCTGAAATACAAGCAAAGAGAAAATAGATGAATTGGATTTCATCAAAATTTAAGACTTGTGCTTCAAAGGGCATTATCAAGAAAGTAAAGAGACAACCTACAGAATGGGAGAAAATATTTCCAAATCACCTACTTAATATGGGTCTCACATCCAGAATATGTAGAAAACACTTAGAACAACAAAAAGAGAATAACCCACTTTAAAAATGGGCAAATGACTTGAATAGATATTTCTTCAAAGAAGACGTACAAATGGCCACTAAGAACTTGAAAAAATACTATCATTAAGTCATTAGGGAAATTCAAATAAAAAAGACAATAAGATACCATTTCACGCCCACCAAGACAGCTATAATGCTAAATAGACAATTATAAGAAGTATTGATGAGGATATGGGGAACCTGGAACCCTCACACAATGCTGGGGGGAATGTAATAGGGTGCAGCCACTGTGGAAAGTAGCCTGGCAGTTCCTCAAAAAGTTAAACACAGAGTTATCATATGACCCAGCAATTCCACTTGTAGGTATGATACACAATTGCTCACAGCAGCAGTCTTTGTAATAGTCAAAAAAGCAGAAACAACCCAAATGTCCATCAACTGATGGATAAACAAAATGTGGTCTATCCATACAATAGAATATTGTTCAGCCATAAAAAAATCTTTGAAATCCTGGTCCATGCTACAACATGGATGAACCCTGAAAACATGCACTTAAGTGAAAGAAGACAGACACTTGGGGCACCTGGGTGGCTCAGTTGTTAAGCGTCTGCCTTTGGCTCAGGTCATGATCCCAGGGTCCTGGGATCGAGCCCTACATCGGGCTCCCTGCTTGGCAGAAAGTCTGCTTCTCCCTCTCCCGCTCCCCTTGCTTGTGTTCCTGCTCTTGCTATCTCTCTCTCTGTGTCAAATAAATAAATAAAATCTTAAA